ATCACTTTTTATAGCATATCTCTTTAGACTCTTTGGCCTCATCCAAAATCTAGATGGCCATGGCCAGTCCAACGGACAGGTAGAAAAAGGATTTTCTGTCCACACAAGGCATCCTATTTCATGCACAAAAAGCACTGACTGTATCACTGTGCATAGCACCATGTCCATACAACACGGCCTGTTTGTTGTTGTACTAACCTTTAAATACTTGTCACAGTTTTCTGATGCATACGCATAATCATTATAGTGATTTATAGTGATTTATAGTGACTTTGCTCCTTTTCTTGATTTTAGTTATGCATCTGAAGCAGAGGGAATATCAGGTTGTCAAAAGGTATAATCATTACAGTTGGAAAAGACCCTTTCAGATCATTGAGTCCAACCGTAAACCTTTCAACAGCATACATGCTAAATCATGTCCCTAAGTGTCTCATCTACATGTTGCTTGAACACTGCCAGGGATGGTGACTCCATCACTTATCTGGGTAAGTTTTGTAATTTGGCAATGCTTAGCTACTCTTTCTGTGTAGAAATTCTTCCTAATGTCTAAGCTAACCTCCTCTGGTGAAAATTGAAGCTATTTCCTCTTGTCTCATCCTTAGTTATTTTGGAGAAGAGATCAACCCTTGCCTCATTACAACCTCATCTTCCAATAGATCCTGCAACTGTGAGTATTACAACTGTGACAGCCCTGATAGAAGATTTAGCTATGTTTTAGTATTCTTAAATTCCTACCTCCTTTTGATGGCAAAATTTTAAATCAATGTTTTTCTTATTGTGATATGTAAGCATACTAATGAAGAGTCTCATCTTAGGAGGTGCATATATTCTTCATGCATGTATCAGATATCTTCAGCTTGTATTTCAAGCCATTTTCTCCATATGTACCAGGACAAAGCAATACAACAAGACCTTATTTTGCAAATGTTGAGCACATGCATCTTCTTCATGTTTTTTCATTCATGTTCTGCCTGCTTCTCACCTCTTAGACCATTTAAGTAGATTTGAATGTCTACTTAATGTCAACAGTAGCAGTGGATAGAAGGGAGCCATCCTGATGACTTTCACCGTTTTCACAGTGCAAACAGGAGCTGTGGATGATGTGAAACCCAGAAACTCTTACCCATAATGAAGCAACAATAACAGAAGACATTTCAAAATGTCCTAAAGGGCCCCTGGAACATCATTCCTTCAGCAGCCAGAGCATCTAATGTTGCAGATTATTAATTGAAGTAAAAAAATATATACTCCTGTTTCAAATAATACAGAAAAGCTTCAATGCTACAGCTAAAAATTTTAAGCAAAAAGTCTTTGTAGTGTCTACTCCATTCTCTCTGGGGTTAAATTCACTCTCGCAGAGATTCTGAGATTGACTGCTTCAAGCAGAATTGGTGATGTTTAGGAAGAGCTGAGATCTGCACTGGAAGGACTGTGATATTATAAAAGGGATTTCTTTCTCCTCTTTGGCAGTGCAATGTTTACATGATGTAGATTGCCTCTTCCTCCTAAGGAAGCTTGAGTCTGCTTGGGTTTATTTTTATATGCTTCTTTAACATAGTCTGCATACATGATATTTCTCTTCACTGGTTCTCAGTTATTCAGTTTTTCCCTTCTCTTTGTTAGCTTTTAAAATATGGTTTCATCTGAATAATGAAAGGATGTACAGTAGTGACCACTGAGTGGCCATTAGAATTTGTGTTTGTGGTACAGGATTTTAGTACCATATATCTGCACTCTTCCACACGTGTTATTAAAGAGCATTTCTGTACATAGAGTAGCTACTTTTTATTGCTATAACTTAAAGCTAAACTAAAAACATATTTGGACAATATTAATCTAATTGGTAGACAAATTGCTATCACATCTAAACCAGATAAAATTGGCTCACCCCAAGAGAAGCCCAGACAAGTCCAGAGACTTGCCCTGTCAGACCAACATAAAATGTGTGGTCTTTAGGAAGTCATAGCAAAATGATATTTTACTGTGCTACTACTTGCCTGCTTCATCTATTTTGGGGGTTGTCATATTCACTAAGGTTTCATATCAGAGTATCTGCCTTCTATTTACATTAGCAGCTATTCATACTGGAACTTGAAGCAGGTTTAACAAGAGATGTTGGATGTACTAGATACTCTGTTTCTAGGAGTTCTTATGTATATGACTTGTGATGGAAGTTAGGCAAACCACCACATGTACTGATGACTTCTGAACAAAATGGGAGACTTCTAGATATAGATAGCAACCTTCAAATGCAGAAGACCATGAGCGCGCACATATGGAGACAAGTGTCCATACTTGTGACTCCTTCAGCATGCCTGGTATTTGTGAGTGGAATTGAGTGAAAGTAAGACCTAAAGGTTCATCCGATTTCTAATGGTTAGAAATTGACCTGATGGCAATTACATGCTAATAAAAAATGCATATAATTCTCAGATACATGGTGGGATATACCTTCTCTTTATTTGGATTGAAACATAACTGAAGGGAGGAGTGTAAGAATTTTCTCAGCATTTTCCAGTTGCTTACCCAGTGTCTTCAGTTTCAGCAGTGCAGCCCTAATATGTAAATCCTATGGTGAAATATCAAAATATCACCAGGCAGTATATATAGATCATAGGTACTTTACTTGAGGGCATGCATCCCACAGGGAAGCAAGCTACTGTGAATCTGAGCCTACATTTTCCTTGGGAATCTAGATCCATAGAAACAGTTTTCTGACAAAGACCTATGCCATCTAATGGGGATTAAATTAATAAGATCTTCTTAAAAGCAAGGCAAGACTCAAAAGGAGAGGTAACATCTTTTATTAGAGCATCTGATAAATCTGAGAAAAGGAAAAAAAAAAGAAAAAAGAGAAGCTTTTAAAAGTTCTTCTGCCAGTATGATTTTATAGGAATTGTTCTAGAAAAACTCAGAAAGTCACTGAGAATATTCCATCTATAAAATGTTTTTGTATAGTCTAGATATTCTCCATACAGAAGTTATCATTCACAGATAGAATCTACAGAATTTACTCCAAAGTAAGACAGAATGAGTAATAATTAATAATTCTAGATCTGAAAGAACTCTGAGCATCACCAATAATGTTTTAATGTAATTTAATCAAATCACATTTCAAAAAAATATAACTGTAATCATGTTGAAAGGAAAAAAAAAGGAGAAACATTTAATGAATAACAAGGTTGTTCTTTAGTTATTAAGCTTCCTTTCACAAATATGGGAAGTAAACTAGTAAAAGTTATCAGTGTTACAATATTACAGTGTAAATGAAAAGTGCTAATTAATTAAAGTATTAATTCATTTATTTGAATCGTTACATAACGAACACACTAATGCTGAAAGATAATAACAAACAGTACAATTACAGTACAATTTTTAAAAATTAGCTGTGATTTATTTAATTAGTAAATACAAAAAGTCCCAAAAAGAAAATCTCTCTCCTTGCCATTTCTTGACCAGAGTTGTTGGACAAGACTATGCTTGTGATGGTGAACTCTATCAAGATGAACATAACAGTCTAAAGTGAAACAACTGCCCAGCTCATATCTCCTGTCCCAGGGGCTGAAGTGGGTTTGCATTGCTTTTCTTATACCTTAACGAAATAAAAAAAAAAAAAATACCAGCTTAAAAGAAACAAACAAACAATCTACCCAGAAAACAAGCAAACAAAAATTGAGAACTGGGCAAAAAGATAAAAGCAGAGCATGTTGTGAAGAAGAGTAAGAAACTAGGCAAAAGTAACTAGAGATTAAAAATAACAAGAAAGGGGAAATAGAAGAGATAAATGATTGTGTGACAAAAAGTAGCATAATGTTAAAATATTGGACTACATGAGCAATATATCCACTGACATATGAATTAAGATCAATTCAGTTATTTTATGTTTTTCTAAAATGTCAGGGTGCAACCTAGTTGAAAAAGTCAATCTGCAAGAATAATTAATGACAGCAAGTACTACTGTCATTATTATGGACATATCTGATGTGCTACTTTTTTTTTTTTTTCTCATTTCAAGGAGGAAACTGCTTAGTTCCTCACTTAACTTCATGGGTAAGATTTAACTTCAGAAAAAAAGTAATATATATCATAGAAAGAAATATGATTGCTCTTGCTTGTACACAGGAACAGTTTTGCATACACTTTTTTTTTTTTTTTTCTTGAAAGCCTTTTCTCTGTCTCTGCTTTTTCTCTTATACACATAAAGTTTGAGATTCTATTGCACTTGAATTTAGTATTCTGAATTCTGACCTTTCAGAAGACTTCTGAGTCAACGGGCTGTGTAATGCCAAAGCTCAGGTGTAGTCTCCCTTACTAATCTTTCCACTGGCTTTGAAATGGAGGGCCGCTAGCCCTATCTGTACTACAGTACTATAGTAGTACTTGTATACTGTTACTACAGTTTCAAACAGGCTTTAATTTGGAAAAAGGATTTCATTAATGTCTACATAAATAACTTATTTGACAGTAAAGCAAAACAAATTCCTGGGTGTGGCTTTCATAAAATAGATTAAATTTATACTATGTACAAGACAGACGAGTAGGTCATAATGAATAGTCTCAGAGCTACTCCCTGATCAATAGAGTAAGACCAAGTTTGTATTTGTCTCATTGCATTAAAAAATGTTGAATTAAGTATTTTGCTATAAAACTAGTGGATTATTATTATTATTATTATTATATGATTTAGGATTTTTAAATGGTATTGGCTCTGGATAGTATGTATAGAATCAAATGAATCACTAATGTTGTCCATAAAATAATTTCTATGCCTCTGAATTCCATACATGCTTCCATGCTGTGCAATACATAAGCAAATGATGGTTAAATATGTTCATCCACATATTCCTTTAATTATATTGGCATAAATCTTTTGTAACCCCACTGATATCCAGAAAGTGCCATTGTCATCTCCATTTAAAGGAGAGATGACTCTGGCCAACTGCTTTTAAACTATCTTTTTTTTTTTTTAATATTCTCTGAATGTTGCATGAGATCTTGGATATTGCAATAAATGCAACTGAGATAGGTCAACAGACCTGGATTTTATTTGTATCTTCTGTCTCGTAGAAGATAGAAGAACAGAAGAATTAAGGGGAGGAATCTTCAACTTTAAAAACAGTTTCTTTGACAGAAATAGGAAACTTAGCATGCATAAGCTGTATTAATTGTGATATTAATTCACTAATAAATTAGTTGAATGCTGTTCATATTGTTGTGGCTCCAGTTCTACAAGAGGTGGAACTCCATTGATGGAAGAGTGCTAATGAAGTTTAAGAAGAAGGAAGTTAGCATCTGAGCTATGCAAAAATAAAGACAACTCATTTTAAATAAATAAAACACATCTCATGGGGCTGTTGATCATATTTCTGCCCTGATTAAATAAACATGATACCTCATTCTGCCTTGTGAAATTTTCCTGATTGTCCTGTGAAAGAGGAATGTCTTCCTAATGTACTGCTGAGGAATGCAAGATAGATATCATAAAGAAGGATCAATGAAGGAAAGAATATTCAAATAGTGAAATATCTACCTTGGATTATATCCTAATTAGATATTATATTATTCTAAATTTATTTCACTTTCATATTACCTTATTTGAGTCATTAGAAACTAATGAAATTTAATGTCAATTAGTTAAATCCTTGTTATGTCCCATCTAATGGTTGTCTGTGAACTACACTGTATAAGAAATCAGCACTGATGCATTTCCTAATTAATAAAATAGTACTGTGGGAGTAAGGAGAGCAGGCAAATGCCTTTTCAGTTTTCTTGTAAGTCTCCATAATTCAAAAAGCTTGATTGTTTTCTTCTTCTACTTTTCTTCTAAGTATTTTTAATATTTAATATTAAAATATATGTCCTCATTCCTAAATGGTCTGGCAGCCAGTCTCTATGTGCTAGAACTCCAGTTCCCATTTTAAGGCAAATATTATCACTAACACTTCCTATTCTCAACAAAAGATGTTCTTTGAGATGAAGGCAGGTAGGGTTTTCCTTGTAACCTTGACAACAAATGATTGGGCATATCCATTATATGTTGAGAACAAAAGGTCACTCTATATCCTTTTACCCTTAATGGAGTAAGACAGTTAAATGTACATAAATGTGCTTAAAGAGTATGTATCTGCTTAAACTTAAGCCAGAATTTAACACTATGATGAATAAAAACAATTTCTGCATACCAGGGCAAATCTGAGGGCTGCTGTCTGGCATTTGCAGTGTGGGAGAACAGTAAACTATACACAACAAAGGAGTATAGCAGGGTGCCTGCCTCCACTGCCTGCTGAGAAATCTTTGAAGGTATTATACCACTGCTGAAATACTTTTAATGGTGATATTTTTAACTTTTGTTGTTGTGATCTCATATGTCCCACTGTGTTTCATTTCTTTTGCGACATTGAATCTCTTTAAAACTCTAAATAATGAAAACACAATTTTCTTTGTGCTCTCAAAAGTTTTCCCCCTCACAAAATATTAAAATAAGTGTTCAAAATCATAAATACACTTTCCCATAAAATCTATGCAGAAATATCTTTCTATTGAGTATTTTGTTTACATTCTTGACAGCAGGGAGTAAATTTTCAGTGCTTGAAGACTTGCAGTAGATTCAGCTCTCATTAATTTTAGGCAGTGTTCTATAACTTGCTGTTCATGCCCTATGTGAAAAACAACCCATGTGTGTGACCCTTGAGTCCATATTGTTTCATAATTTTAACAGTGTCTACTATCTGTGTCATTACTGGCAATGCAAATTTCTATTATCAATAATGCTATTACTGGCATTGAAGAGTGCAGATAGGTATAAGTTTGTGTCCTTGCTTGAAAATGACACTGCTAACTAATGTATGGTGTCATGTAGTTATTGGTATTTCCATACAGAAAGTCACTTTTGCTTGAATATAGAAAAATTAAAAATACCTTTCCTCATCATCCCTTGTTTAAAGCTCATCTCCTTCTAAATATATGTAAATATGGTAATGCCAACATGTTGCAGTGTTATCTGTTCAGAAGTGCAGTTCGTTTAAAAATGAACTACATTAAAAAAAAAAAAGGATTTTTTTTTAATTCCTTTTTACACTATTCAGAAGTGTAGTCCATTTAAAAAAAGGAAATAAGATGCTTAATTGTAGGAGTACTGCTCATGAATACTAAAAATGCATGTTCTGTTGCATTCTGCTGGTAAACTGTTGTATAGCATTGGAAGGGTCTTCCTACACTTCATTTGAAAGGCAACAGGTGGAAACTACATCCATTTCACCTTGCTTTATACCTCCACCTTTTCTTTTTCTCCTTTTATATATTGTGGCACTAACTTTCTTTGGAAAGGATTTTAAGATTAGATGGCAAGAAGCAACGTACAAGTACAGGCATTATTAATTATACAATTAACAATATGATTACATTCAATGAGCATGAAGATAACTAGAAGAATGTGGCCTTAGTGTAAGAAGGTGGCTATTCACTTGCATCTGTTCAACAGTATCACAAGTACCCCTGAGCTGTATCATTATATAACAGCAGGTCTGTGTCTTCCAGGCTTTCTCAGAGTCCACCTTTGATGTGTGATTTTTTTGATATTACTGAGGCTACACTAACATTAAATACAGATGTATTCAATGGTGGTGATCAAGTCCAAGGTTTAGAAAATGGTAATTTGATTACTATACATGATACAGGCTTTCAGTTCTCCTAGTAGGGATGATCTTCCTCCCATGGAATCAAGGAAAAATTCAACCTTGCTGGACTGAAACATGTGCTTTTCTAGAATATTCTGGGTTGCACAATAGGGTCCTGAATGTATCTGGAGTATAAACAAGCTGCAACATTTTCATATTTTGCAAAAAAAATATGCACTAGGAAACAGTTTTATATGTATAAACTAATTTCCAAAAAGGTTCTATGCTGCAACTGATTTACAGAACTACAAGCAGAAAAACACTTCCAAAAATGCAGGGAGGAAACTTTGCTTTCCTCACAGTTTCAAGAACTAAGGACGAGATTTGGCACCAGAAAATGATACAGAAAAGTTCAGTCTTAGTCATTTGCATCTGCAGTATTAAAGAGGTCCACTACTGCCAAACAGACAGAGCTCAGCAAGATGGGTGAATGATCAAGGAAACTGCAAGAAGCTAAGCTTGCTTAAAATATGCCATATTTTATACCATCTAGTTAGTTTGCATACACAGACTACAGACTCATTTCAGGAGTCCTACCAAGGCATAAGTAATGATATTCCTAGGAATGTCAGAATGCTTGTCTAATTAGGGTTGGAAGATTTGATTGTATAATAGAAGATGCATCATAACAGACTGAACTAAATGTTGGGGACTCTGATTAAATATCTGTGTATGCATGCAAACAAGGCATAAAAATAACTAGCGACCGCTCCTTTTTCCCCCTATTCCCCCACCTGCCTACTTTTAAATTGCAAGCTTATTGCCGCAAATAATCTCAGTATCAGATATCTGAGAAAAGACTCAACATTTGCATTTTTATTGATTTTAAATATGAGTCAAGGCAAGCAAATTACTGTGTTAAAGGATGATTGAAGAGTAAAAAATGTCACTGTGCAGCATCAGATACTTTACTGAATCAATTTGCCTTTTATTCCATTGGTTAAAAAAAAAAAAAAAAAAGTTAGAATGGCTTGTAAATTGTTAACTCTTTAAGAAAAAATACTGTCATGTCAAAACTGTGACAAGGAAACTTCTAGAACAGGCTGTTTTCTGTTGCCATAGCACAGGAGGGCTGCTAGAGAACATTTTACAAAGTAGAAAAGAGAGACAAGATGGAGAGGAAAAAAAAAAAAAAAAAATCATAGAACTTTACTGAAATGCCCGATCCAGCTCTGCAAGGTGCATAGCACTTCCTCTGACCTTTGCCTGCTGAGCAATACAATGGAGCTAGAGGTGATTAACAAGGAATGGCTTGAAGTTAAAGGTGAGCTGAAAGCCAAATTGCTGACCTTTATTTTGATTGTGAAAATGCAAATGGATCTTCCATATGTCTCATCCAACAAAAGCACCAAACTTAGCTCGTACCTTGTGCCCATATTTGGATAATAAAGGGTTAAGACTTGTGTGAAATTAGGACAAAGTTGTAGTGGCCTGAATTTCTCCACACTTGTCCCTTTTCTTTCCAAGGCTTGGGGAGGGATAATTGTAAATTATTTGTCTTGCAGTGAGCTGTTGACTGTTCACCAGCTGGGGAGAGGGGAGTTCCAATTGCAAACATCTAAGAGGCAAAAAAGCCCTTTTGCTGTTAGTCATTGCTGATCATGTAAAAACGCCTTCTCTCTCTCTCTCTCTTTTTTTTTTTTTTTTCTCTCAGAGCAGCACAGGTTACAGCATGAAGCAGTCTCTTGCTTCATGTAACAACTTCCCTTTTCACCAACAGGTAAGGTTGGTATTGATTATGTGTTATCAGAAGTTGGAGGATGTTATGCTGCTGATGGAAGTAATGCCTGTCCCCATTTCTGCATGAGGGAGTCTTGACTCCTCATGACTCCATAGTTTTGTTTAAGCTTTTACATGAGCCATTCAGTATGCTATTCACATTAATGCACATATCAGAAGCCTCTATGCTCCTCTAATGTTCATATGTATAAGAAACTCCCGTGGCTAGTTAGCATTTTACAGTAATATGTAAACCTATTTTCAGAAGACAGTTGAAGAGTGGAAAAAATGTTTCTGAACTTGGAGTTGCATCATTCATTGATGGAAAAAAAATCAATTTGTTTTTGTAGTCATTAAATTAAATCCAAAGTGAGAGATTGTCAATGTCAGTGACTAAAGTTTTCTGCAAGGGATAATAAATGCTACCACAGGCTGCACAAGGGTGACAATAGTGAGTATGATCTCCTAGACCTTACAGTATAATCATGAAGCACTCTTCAGACACACAAAATGAATATAGACGATGAAGAAAGTGTGTTCCGCTCCCAGTTCATTTAAGCCAAAGTATCTTCTGCTTTTTTAGGTGAGGAGGTAGGGGAGTTGTCAAAGATTCATATAGATTTACACAGTTATAGAACAAAATAAATTAATAAATAAACTCTTGACTTTTATCTATTGCTTTCAAAGCCCAATAACTAGGCCCCTCCATTTATACTTATATTCAGTTCCATCAACTACAGAAGTATTACAACAGATTTAAGTTAAATGCATGTGAAACTATGGCTACAACACTCAAATCTAAATTTGAGTTCTTAAATTTCTCTTGGAAATCAGATTTTCTCTCTTCTGTGGCCAAGTTAAGAAG